GTTCAGGCGGTCAGAGTCAGCGACGCACTCCATCCATTTCTATTACCAGAAGTTACCAGGTTGGTGATTCCGACATGCATGCAGAGAAGTCTAGCGTGCAAGACAGCACTTACCGACCCTCACGTCCGGCGACGACATCGAGGTATTCTTATTCCGCTCATTCAGAGGATTTGCGGGCAGTCTTGAAGGAACGGGCTCGCCGATGGGAGGCTCAGAGGGTGATGGACATTTACAAAGGATTAATGAAACACATCCTTCATACATGCCACTTCAATATCCATTACTTTTTCCCTATGGGACTGATGGATGGAGAAGGTCTATAAGTTTTACTCTGGGTACAAACAACAAACGAGAAGGAGTGTCAATGAGAGAGTTTTATGCATTTAGACTTCAATTTCGAGTTGGAGAAGGGAAAACGCTACTGCAAGGGGGACGTTTGTTCCAACAATTTGTTGTTGATTGTTATGCAGTTATTGAGCAAGATAGACTAAACTTCATCAGGCATAAACAGAATGTGTTACGGACTGATTTGTATAGAGGTTTAGAAGATGCTGTGACTGTGGATGGCAGTGATGCATCAGCCATTGGTAGGAGATTTATACTCCCATCATCTTTTATAGGTGGCCTACGAAATATGATTCAGCATTACCAGGATGCGATCGCAATATGTTGAAAGGTGGGATTTCCCGACCTTTTTATCACATTCACATGTAACCCAAATTGGCCAGAAATTCAACAGGAGGTAACACGTATTCCAAATCGACGCACAGAGGATATACCGGACATACTTGCAAGAGTTTTTCGAATTAAATTGAAACAACTGATGGCATATTTCAAGAACCGAAAATTCTTTGGCAAAATAATTGCAGGTTTGTTTTTATTTGAACTGGTCAATTAGATTTGCTAAATTTAGTTTAAAGTTAACAAATAATATTATTTTTTCTTGAATATTCACATCATCAAATTTCAAAAGTGAGGATTACCGCATTCACACATTATCTTGACAATATCAGCAGATGACAAGATAAAATCGCCAGAGGAAATTGATGATATAATTTGTGATAAAATTCCTGATAAAGATAAAGATCCATTAGCATTTCAAACAGTAATGAGGTGCATGATACATGGTCCCTGTGGCAGTGCTAACCCTAATGCCCCATGTATGGTGAATGGAAAATGTTCAAAACATTATCCGAAGAATTTTTGTAGTGAAACGAGTATTGATGAAAATGGATTTGCTATCTATAGGCGAAGGGATACAAAGAAAAAATACGTGGTTAATGGATTTGAAATTGACAACAGATGGGTTATTCCATACAACCGTTATCTTATTGTACTGTATAATGCCCATATCAATATTGAGCGTTACGCACACAACAAATTGATCAAGTACTTATATAAGTACATACATAAAGGCCCTGATCGTGCAACGGTTGTAATTGGCGATAATGTTAATCGACTTAACATTGATGGACAAAGTCGGTATAGAGAGGCTGACGAGGTAAAACAATACTTAGATTGTCGATATATCTCCGTAATTGAATGTTGCTGGCGTATATTTGAGTTTGAGTTGCAAAAGCAATACCCTTCAATTGAACGGTTGCAGTACCATCTACCTGGGGAACAATCTATTCTATTTAGAGACACAGATAACATTCCGTCAATTATTAATCAACTGGGGGTTCACGAGACAATGTTTACAAGGTGGTTTCAAGCAAACAGAGATCATGTAGATTAACAAATGAAGAGTTTCCTATCTCATGTGTTTGGAACTAGAAACAGAAGAAGTGGAAAATGAGGCAACAACAAATATGCATAGGTTGATTGTATTATGCACATCCTAATTCTGGTGAATGATATTATTTACGTATGATGCTTACCAAGGTTCGAGGTGCAAAATGTTATGAAGATATTAAAACCGTTAATGGCATTGCGCACCCAACATTTAAATCTGAATGCCTTGCACTTGGCGTTCTAGACGATGATAATGAATGAGATGCAGCTTTAATAGAAGCCTCAACATGGGCATCAGGTGCTCAACTGCAAAATTTTTTTGCTCAATGCTAATGTTTTCTGAGGTTACAAATGCATATGAATTGTGGGAGAATCATTGGTTTGACCTTACTGATGATTTGCAAAATAGGGTACAAAGGCAAATTGGGGATGGCAATATGCGTCTCGAAGAATATGAATTGAAAAATTTAGGATTGCTTGAAATTGAGCACATACTAAATCAAAATGGAAGATCTCTTAAAGAGTTTCCTCCAATGCCTCTACCATCATATCGATCAGGTCAAATGGTTACTAATAGACTCATAAAGGAGGAATTGAACTACGATAGCATTTCAGAAATGCAATCTTTTGAATCTTTATATGTGGGATTGAATGATGACCAATTGAAAGTGTTTAACACCATAATGGAAGCTTATTCCACTCATCATGGGGGCTTATTTTTTGTGTATGGGAGTGGAGGAACTAGAAAGACATATTTATGGAGCACTTTAATCGCAAAATTTCGATTTGATAAGAAGATCATTCTTTCTGTTGCTTCATCAGGTGTTGCAGCTTTGCTCTTACCCGGGGGACAAATTGCCCATTCCTGTTTCAAGATTCCACTTGACCTTAATAACTCATCATGTTGTTCAATAAATCAAGGGACATATTTGGCAAGGTTAATTCAAGAGGCGTCGTTAATTATATGGGACGAAGCACCAATGGTTAGTCGTCATGCTTTTAAAACTATTGATCGTACATTTAGGGACATATTGAAAAATACAGAACATTGTTCAGGGGATAAGGTTTTTGCTGGAAAACTATTTGTGCTTGGTGGTGACTTTAGACAAATATTGCTTATCGTACCTAGAGGTGGACGTGAACAAATAATGGAAGCTTCATTACCTAAGTCAACAATTTGGGAGCATTGTCAAATTTTGCATCTTACCAGAAATATGCGTGTTACAGCACAAGATATTTCTAATCATATGCGTCATGAATTACGTGGCTTTGTAGAGTGGATTAAATTGGTTGGTGAAGGGAAAATAATGGGAAGCTCATTTAGTGAAGGCTATGAACCTAATTAGATACAGATACCAGAAAATTTGTTATAAAAAATGGAGAAAGAGATTTGCACCAGTTAATCGATGCCACCTATCCTGATTTCATAAATAAATATTAGGATATGTTGTACTTAAAAGAACAAGGCATTTTAGTTTCTAAAAATAGTGATGTTGATGAAATCGATTCTATTATGCTTTCGATGCTTCCTGGAGAGATGAAAACTTTTAACAGTACTGATAAATTGTGTCCAACAGAAAGTGAGATCAATGTTCAAGACATGAACCCTCCTGAACTTTTGCATTCTTTGAATTTACTAAGACTCCCAAATCATTGTTTGCAATTGAAAGTTGGAACACCAATAATGCTTTTAAGAAATGTTAACCAATCTTTGGGATTATGCAATGGCACTCGATTAATTGTTGATAAGATGGGAAATCGAGTAATTGAAGCTAGAGTTATTACAAGGTCTAGAGTTGGTGAGAAAGTACCACTTTCATGTATTGTTTTAACATCTTCCAAAAATCATGCTCCTTTTACAATGAAAAGAAGGCAATTTCCAATAAAGTTGGCATTTGCTATGACAAGAAGTAAGAGTCAAGGGCAAACTTTGAAGAATGTGGGCCTTTATCTTCTGAATCCAGTCTTCTCCCATGGCCAATTGTATGTAGCTTTATCATGTGCCACCTCTCCATCAGGCTTAAAGGTGTTGATTATTAATAAACAAGGCATACCGGATGATGTCACAAAAAATGTAGTTTACATAAAAGTTTTTAGTAGCATTGATCAATAATTTTGTTCAAGAGTTTCAAATGTGTTTCATTTTCCTAAAAACAATTGTTTTATTATTTCTCCTCATATATTGATTGTTTAAAATAAGTAATTTCATACATGAAAACATATGTTGCATTTGAAATTCACATGTTCATATTTAATTTAATTGTCTGTACATATATTATGTTTAATTCATACAATTATTTTATTTTATAATTAAGTACCCTTCTTTTTTATCATTATAAATTTAACTCAAATAATAATTAATGTGGTTTATTATTAAAAACAACTTGACTAACATTATGTAATTGTATGTTAAATGTGTTAAATTCATTGTGCAGATAAATATGCGGCCTCCTTTAAATTTGCACTGTAGTGATCGTTTGGCCATGCAAAATGCCATAAATGAATTTGAAATTGTACCACATAAAAAGGGTTTACCAGTAGAAAATTTTGTTGATTAGAAAATCAAAATATGTCGAGCAATGCAAAAATTAAGAAAAAAAATAAGTGAAGAAAAATTGATGGAAACAATATTAGACCTTTTACCATCGAGCTGGAATGAAGTAAAGGAAACAATTTTTCAAAAGCATGAAATCAAAGATGCCTCAGACTTAATGGATGCTTTAATGGAGGAGGAGCGTGATGTTCATCCTCTATGGATTGAACTTGAACAAGCGCGGATGACTCCAAATTTAACGGTACGAGAGCATATGTTACATAAAGAGCAAGTGTTTTATAAGCTTAGGAAAAAAGGTTTCCAGCCCCACATTGCAATATTAGTTCATGCTATAGTTAACACACTTCCAACCTCATGGCCTATTCAAGAAATTCATAAAAAAATTAAAAAGGACTTTCCAGACATGAGAGCATTGATAGTTATGTTGGAGGAAATTGAAAATGATATGATTTGTTTACAAGCATTGGATGAAGTGGAGCAACGCATTGGTAATGAAAATATTAAAGTGGAACTTGGTCTTCATTGCTTTTGACCTCTCATGATAAGGTAATGGACTTGTGTCTTGTTTTGTGCATTTATTGAATTGTATCAAGTTGGATCTTTGGCCATCATGCATTCAAGATGCTTGATTAATGGTTTTGGATCCAATAGTGCCTCTCCTTTGATGTTTTGAGATGACAAAGAGTGGCACAGTACAAACATATCCTTGGGAGACCCTCACTTTTTCTCTGTTTGAGCTCTGTTGCAGAATGGTGTTACAGCACACCAGTGGCCGGCAGTGCACATCCTTGGCCGGCAGCAACTTCCCATGACCGGCAGCAATGTTTTAAAAATCAGACCGGTGATTGAACCGGAAAAGTGATCGGGTGGACGGGTCACTGGTTCAACCGTTGGGTTGAACCGAAATCGAACCGTGACGTAATAAATATATTAAATTTATATTTAAATAAAAATATAAGTAATAAAATTAAAAATTTTAAAAAATAAAATATTAAATTATCTTAAATATTTCTCCTAATATTTTTTTTACTAAAAAATATAATAATATATTTTAAAATATTAATAATTTTAATTATGGAAGAGAAAATCAAATATTCAATATTCTCTCCATATGATTTTAATTCAAATAATTTAATTGAAAGAAGAACTAAAATTTTGGAGGGATATCAAAATTTCAATTCTCCCTCCAATAAATTTGATTGAATCCCACATGAATTTTTTGAGTTTTTTTGGAAGATTTTTTTTCTTATAAATAGGCAGAGACTTTCACAATAATTTCAAGCTCTTAATGGGATTCCTCACAAGAGGAGACCCTTAAAAAAAGAGTTTTCAATTAAAGTTTTCTTTTATATATATAATAAGAAAGAAAAGAAAGAAAAAAATATTGAAAAAAATAGAAAATATCCAAAACAGTTCAAAATTTTCCATCTAAATAACCCGGTGAACCGGCGCCAGGTCGACCGGTTTGGCGGTTCGACAGCCGGTTTTCCCAGTTCTCTTTAAATACATCGGTTTTTGGCTTTGACCGGTTCAGAGGGTATATCCGGACCGGAACCCCGACCGGTCGACGGTTCAACCGGTCGGACCGGCCGGTCTGGTCCGGTTTTTAAAACCATGATATGTAGAATGGTGGGAAAAATGAGTGCTATGAAATATCAATCATGTGCATAATGAATAATAATATTTAAAATAGTGGAAACAAGATGGTGATTTGTAATTTGTTTAGCTAATGATATTCATTTTTTTTTTCACTTTAAAATTATCATTACTTAACTGTGACATGTGTGGAGACAATTGAGTATACCTTCAATGAAGAATGAAAACTTACCAAGTATTGTAGTGAGTTAATAATGAAATAACAATGGTGGAAAGAATGTAGAGAAAAAGGGAATAGAGAATTGTGTGATTTGTAGATTGCTATAATATTTCACTTCATAACCACCACCAAAGCTTTAATGGAGTGCAGTACTACAAATAAAAAACATAATTTAAGAAATGAATATTATTCTCATTCTAATTGTATTAACATAATTTAAGGAAGAATTGAAATTTAAAATTGTATTTTATAATTTAACGAAGGCCGCTTAATTTAAAGAATATATATTGATCTTATTCCAATTGTAGTAATATAATTTTGAAAAATCCAAATTTACAATTTTATTTTAATATTTTAAAATTTATTTATACACCAATCAGATTGCGACACATATTAACAAAATTTAAACAAAATAAAAAAATGAGAAAATTTGAAAATTAAAATTGTATTTTATAATTAATGAAGGATGCATAATATATAATCTACTTAAAGATTCAATGAAGCTTTTTATTAATTTTTAGGATTACAGTGTTGTCATGTTGTGCATGTTGTTGAACTCATGATTGATCTTAGGTCTCGTTTGGCAACTATATGTTCTAGCCAAAAATCAAAATGCCACTATAAGTTGTCACATCACTCTCTTTACTTTTCTGCACATCTTGTCGTAAAAAGTCACTCTCTTTACTTTTCTGCACATCTTATCGTAAAAAGTTAAAAAGTTACTAAAATAATTTATTCCCAAACGGGGCGTAATGTAGTGTTAACTACATGATTGTTTCATAACTTTAGCCCAATTAGTTTCGTCTATTTTCATTTATAAAACCCACATATAACTTCGGTGAGATATGTTGACTCCATAATTGAACCAAAAAACGCACTTGTATCAGGTTGCACTACTGTGGCTAACTGAATGTGTCACTAACCAGCCTAAGTTGATATTTGTGTTTACATATAATCCTCAGACTCGTGAAATTACTTGATCATGCTTTATTTGAATTGTTTCTCTTTTGCTTTCATGTTTGTTTTTCTTGTCATTTATAAAAAAATCCGTTTTAATATTTAAATTGACTCTACTTGCGATCACCAAAGATGTCTCATTTTAATATTCTCCAACAACTTATAATCAGTTTTAGCATGTTTATAAGAATTCACAATTGTCTACAAATAATATAGCTTTTGAAAGAAGTTTGAATTAGCCACGGGTATAATAAAGTGGCTCGAATGCTTTTGTGTATACAATTTTTGATGTTTTTTAATCTTTGATTCATCTCCATACTCTGCTACATAATTTTATTTGTTTATCAGATCACTGAAGGCATCTCTGTAACTGTTTTTGCGGGTGCATCGGGCTTGGAACATGAAAAGCGTGAAAGAACGTTTCAATAGTCCAAGGATTCCTGTCCCCATGTCTCAAATCACTCACAATTATTGGATATGTTTTGAGATTCTCAAATCTTAGGATTCTCAAATGATCCAATGATTGTGAGTGATTTGGGACAAGAGGATAGAAATTTTTGGGGACGAGATCCTTGCTAGTTTCAATAAGCTTTCAAATGAAGAATGAGGAAAATTTTGACATAGAGACTCTTGTTGACGTCAACAATGTAAAAGTACATAGAACAATCATCCCAAACGTAAACAAGCTTGACAACCAATACTTAGCGGTAATTCTTCTGTCATTAGATCTGATCTTGAAAGATTTATTGTGACACCTTAGATTGATTGACTGCATGAGCAGTAAACTATTATGAAAAGAAAAAAAATGAATTAGAATTTCTGTTTAAATTTTTTAGAAAACGAATTTAGAAGTAGTAAACTATTACGAACCTTGAGTTATATATTCCTTAGTTTCTTCATTCTTGTGAAGCTAAACCTAAGCTTTATAATTAGAGTCATATTTAGAAGATCCAACATACCAGATTGTATTTTTTTTAAAAACCCCGTTTGGTAATGTTTCTGTTTATAGTTTTTTTTGTTTATGTTCTACAAAAAATTTGAAAGCTGAAAACAAAAACTTGTTTGGTATCTGTTTTTGTGGGTGTTGATTTTCGACCACACAATCAAAAGGGGAACTCAGATGGAGAGTATCGGCAGAATAAATTAAGTCCAAACAACCTGTCACAGAAATATAAGAATCCGGCAGTGGTTCATCCACCCGGGGCACTCCGACGATCAAGTCAATAAACGATATCTCTCAAAGATACCAAGCTGTGCTTAACTCACAAGAATCAACTTACTGCTCACAGTACGTTACACATACCTCAGACCCATGAGGGTACCCCGTTTTTATAGCTCACACTGACCTGATCCCTGTAGAAGCCTCACTGCAGTAGACTCAGGCCCAATGCTTATCCTGGATTCTCAGCTAGATAGGAATAAACTCTCTAAGAGCTTTATCTTTATCCAGACTGAGATCTTCCCTGGTTCTAGAACTCTTGCTCCTTATCCACTCATCTTGGATTTTGGTATCTCCGCAGATAACCTCGACCTAACCGAGATCACCTCAGCGCATGACCAGGCCACGTGGCACCTCGGCTGACACTTAGGTGTCACCTTGGCTATGTGCTGTTATTCTCAAAATATGTCCCTACAATTGCCCCCTAGGTTCTATTACCTCGGTAATCTGAGGTGATGGAACCTACACCACTTCGTCCAGATTTTATATCGGCTAAGAATTCACCTATCCTTCTGACTGAGATCATGGCTCATTGGCTTCATATAACCAGGACTCAACTGTCCATCT